ACTACATCACTTAATTCGGTGTCATTCATGTTATTATCATCAGCTATACTTTCAATTTCATTCAATTCATCTGAAGAAACTACAGTGCAATGTACTGTGTTATCTTGTGCAACAGTAAGAACTGGAGTCTTTATGGTTTTCAGTTTGTCTGGAGTCCAGCCGGACCATTTCATCGATTCAACTGTCTCATCAGCACCATCATTAACTACTTCGATTACATCACTATCAAACTGATTAATTAGCCCTTCTAAACTAATTCCAATAATTTCTTTTATTTTTTGATCTGTTTCAGTTATTAATACCGGTTTATCGACACCTCCACCCGTTTTATATACATTTCGCTTTTCGGTTGCAAATTTTTTTTTGCATTTTTTTTTAGATTCTCATATTTACCTTTAATATTTTTACAACTTCTATATACATCATTATTGGCATTAAATTCGTTAGTAATTTCCTCCCATGTGGTTTGTTTTTGTTTCCATGTAATTGCGTCTGTTTTTTTATTTTCTATAATGACCTTATATTTATTAACTAAGGTCATTAACAGTTGTACTTCTTGTTCTTTAAATTTTCCATACTTATATTCACATTCCATTTTCAAGCAAGAGAAACAACTCGGTTTCATACACCATTCATAAACATAACCTCCAATCTGATTGCTAAAATTAACATACATGAAGTTGCAGACATACCTAGGGCGTTCAGAAAATTTGTTAAAATTAAACTTCACTGTAAATGAACTTGTACAACACAACAAATGTTAACTGAAGTTAAAACTGAAGATTATGGTTTGTTTCAATCTGCAGTTTAAACCTACATTGTACAAACATGCCCTTAGTTTAGTTTAAGTGGAACTTATATTTACTGTTAGTATCTGTCCGAATTTCGCGCGTTACTATAGCAATAATGTCATGCGTCACCTTAACTATATCTTTGAATACCACTAAGTACACGCTAAGTATGAGTAAAGTGTAAGTCTAACTTAAGTAATATCTATGAATTCCACCCTTAGGCCCTAGCTAGCTGGAGCTGTAGGCCAAATCATCGACCGTTTACCGACTTTCATATACACCAGACGTATAAAAAGTCACTTTGTTAAAAATTATTATCATGAACGCTGAAAATTTCCATCAACATATATATGTACTTACTTCACAAACAGATGCTCTTGGAGCTAACGCATCTTTGTTAATAAACTCCATCCACAGTTTAGTTCTCTCTACATTATTCTTATCACAAGGTAACCTAAATAACCTGTAACCACGTTCGCTTCGATTGTTACACCCAGGAACACAACAACCCGGCATTGTTTCAGTTTTTTAAACCAAATAACACGACGAAACACGTTCTCTCTGGCAAACACGAAAACACGATGACAAATTGACGAGTATCAACAGTGATATCAACGAAAGCAGGTTATGATCTGTCTGTGGTTATGATATCAACACGATGCCGTCAGATGTTATCGGCCATTTTGACTCCAAAGGAGTGAACAAATCAATTGCGGTACTCTACTAATCTAGGGACTTTAATTTGTATGGTATTTTGGCGGACCCCTGGTGGGTGTGCTGTGAACTAAAGCAGCAAAATCAGAGTAGCGCCATCTGGTGACCAGCTTCTAAAGCCATGAAGTCATTTCCTCATTCGATCTAAATAAATTATCGATAAAGAATACACAGTTGTTAATTAAAGTGTATTTTAGGTACAATCACATTACATTATTTAACACAGAGAACTTAAATTACATGTTTACAAATTACACATAAAACTCAGAAGTGAGTGGAACTTTACGCCTTTGTAAGATGTTAACACTTTGCAGAAAGATCCTTACATACCGATTTATCCTACGAAGTATTTGGTTTTAATTGCTGTTATTGGACTAAATATTTTTGTTAAAAAATATCTTGAGAACTAAAATTTGTTGTTCAAGAGGTAATAAATCGCTTCAGCAAATTGTCACACAAGTTTTTGACAACAAATGTTAACTTGATCCTGGTGCGTACTTGTTACTTAAGAAGCGAGGGTGGAAATTGTTTAATTATCTAAAACGAATTACAAGTATCTACGTCTATATAAATATAAAACTCAAGTCTACACCTTTTTGCGCCTATACCGTTACCGTTGGTAATTTAGAAATTCCATACCTTGCATAAATAGGAGAGAAATAACAGCACATTTCAACCCTCTTCGTGTTTCAAGCACAAAACAATCTGTTTCAAAATATGGGAAACGATGCCTTTTTGATATTTTATCGTTACAATCCGCCACACAACACTTTCTACGGTCACATAACTTGTTCATATTTTAAATCTTTCAAAAGTCAAAATTGACATGCGTAAAACCTTGTGTACGTATAAAATCGACGGTAAAAATATTTCCTGTAACGAGCAAAATTACAGGTTTTGCAAAAAAATATTCGAGTCTGCGATAAATAGTTCTCCGTACAACCACGGGAAACGCTGTAATCAGTGACAATTTAGCGCCATTTATGTTTCTGTTCTGTGAAGGTCTTATTCTGTGCTTATAAGTGCTATTAACACTGCATTTGTTTTATTGTACTTCTTGTTACTGTGTTTTACATTATTTAGTATTTGTAAATGTAAACTTAACTTGCGTTACATGTCATGTCATTGTAGAAATTTAATTTGAATGTTTGACACACATTAAGCCTTATGCAAAGAAAAGGGGATGTAATATACGTGTATGTTTGGTTGCATATTGTAAGCAACCTATGACAACGTCGCATTTGTATATACGGCGGCATCGCCACTCACCCGTATGAAGTCACGCAATAAACATGCTTCCTAAAACTATTGCATTTATTATCACAATTAGCCGTAAATAGCATAAGCGTTACAATTATCACTTAGTGTACATGACATTCTTTATATCAGAAATAAATTGTAAAATCGTAATGGATTTCAAAGCTCGTATGCACTCAAGAGCACTGGGGGTTGACTAGTTTTCCGTCTGATTTGGGAGAAAACATTTTCTAACGCATCTTGTGTAAAACGGTGCAGTAACACAAAGTTATATCCTCTTTGAAGACATTCATTTGAAATCTGAAGAAGTCCTGTGGTAGCCATAATGATACCCGTATTAAGAGGTTTCCATCCTTTTCCAATAACAGTATTTTCAAACATGTTTATAATATATTGGAGAAAACGAAATTTTTCATTTTTTTTTATTCCTTTTGGTAATGGATTTTGTTGAACATTTCGATGCACATATTTCGAACCATCTCCACATCATTCTAATAAAAAATGCTGTACTTAAAGCATCCTTTGAAATAAATCCAAGCTTGACTGCATTTTCTAAAGCTGCGGCTGTTTGAATTGAAAAGAATCGA